TCATGCAAGCATGTGTGCATATTTACTGTACTGAGTGTGTGCGTTGGCATGGTGTTGTTGTTTGTCTAACACTCTGCCTGACAGCTGGTTCTCATTTCTGAGCGAACAAACAGCAGACGAGATGGACAGCGAGCGGGATGGGGGGGGGGGGATTTCCTACGCAGGGCACGGGACCACTAACCCTCCTGGTTAGTGCCTTGCTCTGCTCTCTGTTTTGACTGGAGCCATAGAAGAGATGAAGTAAATAATCAGAGGGAATCAGGGCAGCGTGAGATAAAAGGCTTGTTGAGAACGAGTTTGAAAAGAGGGAGGATGAGAAAAAGAGGGAAGTGTGTTAAGAGGAAGCAGATGCCAGCCCTCCTCTACCACATGGTGTATGTTTGTGTGTGTGAGAGAGTCAGTGCGCCGTTGCATGCATGTGTGAGTGTTCATGTCTTCTAGCTGTGTGTTTATGTTATTATGGTATATATAATACAGATCATGCATTTGAATTGGCACTAAATATTACGAGTTATTTTGCGTTAATTATTCTTCATCCTACCGACACTGCAACAATTGTTTTTTTGACAATTATTCTCTTTATCAAATAGACTTCCAATGTTTTGTTCAATAGATTGATTAGTTGTTTAGTTTATAGAATGTCAGTAAATGGTGAAAAATGCTGTTCACAATTTCCTAAAACTCACGGTGATGTCTCCAAATTGCTTGTTTAGTCCAGCCAACAGTGTGGAATACAAATTCATTCAATTTAATATCACAAAGGACAGATATATGTTCACAATCCTTACATTTGAGAGCCTAGAAATAATTGACATTGACATTTTTTGCTATCTTTTGGTCTACAATATGTAAGAAAGAAAAAATGAAATACGGTCATCACTGTTTCCCACATTCCAACTAACGGTGCAGAACTCAAAGATATTCACTTTTGACAAATAGAAGCCGCAAATCCTCACATTTAAGAAGAGGGAACCAGTCAGTTTTTGGCACTTTTTGTTTGAAAAGTGAGGTTGAAACGCATTGAACACTTGCTGATTCACTTCATGGAATCGATCAGTCCGCTAAATGTTTCAGCGACGTGCAGCACCATTCAATGCTTCCCAATTTTCATTAGTTTTCTTATAATTACAAGCATGACAACACAGGTGTGTCAAATACTGCCTAGGATATTTGTTGACATCTGAAAAATAAATTAGAAAATGTGTAATTTCTTAAAAAAAAACTAATATTGATGTCAAAATACATAAAACCAATTCTAACTGTCGTTCTTCTCGAGGTTTCTTTTTTTTCAATAAAGTTTTTTTTCTTGCCTCAATAGAGGATCTAAGGATAGTTGTTGTATGTTGCATTGATTTTTAAAGCCACGTGAGACAAACAAAACTATTCCGTAAGTTTGTCTTCTTGACTCTTGTTACAAGTCTCAGATAAACTTCTGACTGTGTACTTCATTCATTCTATAAGCCGTGCTGACCTCGTCTTTGAATGCTGCGCTGTTCTATATGTGTTCTCTGTGTGTGTGTGTGTGTGTGTGTGTGTGTGTGTGTGTGTGTGTGTGT